TATGTATATGGATGCTATACGATGGGCAATTTAACGGAACACTCAAAGCTGTTAATCAAACTGTTTTCATGTTTTCTAATTGTAGAATCGATTCTACACGGTACTGTCGTTCTTTGCGTGTTACCAGATTTAAAAAATTCACGTTTTATTTTTTACCAAGTCTATTTCACGTAGACTAATGTCTGGCGATATTCAATTTCACATATGTGGTCTTTTCCTCGGGCCTGCGTTGCATCACACATTTCCTCTCGTATTATATCACGACAGATGCTATTTGACGAGTTCGAGGGTAAGCCCAATCTGTGGTCACAAGGGTAGGCGGGGTCGTCTGTGTAGGTGTAAATTTTACGCGTCTAGTGTAACTATGGCAACCACAGGGACAAATACGGTCAAAAAACCGTACGGCTGTGACTACGTCGGTTGTACTGTGCGTTTCTCATCTTTGGGCAGTCGCAAACGTCACGAGAACGTGCACAAGGGACTTAAACCATTCGCCTGTAGCCACGGTGACTGTGACACACGCTTCACCACAACGTCGGGTCTCAAACGTCACGAAGCTCGCCACGCCAGAGGCCCTGGATCGTTTTTCTGCGATGGGACGGGTTGTGACAAGCGGTTCTTGACCGCCCGCAAACTCGAGGTGCACAAGCGCACACACTGCAAGTCAGCGGATGAGCTGCATCCGTGTGAGTATCCGGGGTGTGGTAGGAGTTTTACCTTGAGGTATCTTCGAACGCACATGCGTGTCCACGATGGACGCAAGCCATACGTCTGTGATTACGAGGATTGTGGTCGATATTTCTCACGGTCAAACAACCTGGAAGTGCACAAACGCACACATACGGGCGACAAACCCTACAAGTGTGACTTTATGGGCTGTGACAAGCGATTCTCACAGGCTGAGAATTGTCAGGCTCACTCATACACACACACCGGGGAACAGCCGTTTGTGTGTGACGTACCTGACTGTGGGAAACGCTTCACCCACGGCAGCAATCTCATACGGCACCAGCGACTACATAACAGTGATAGGCAGTATGTGTGCGAGTTCATAGATTGTGGGAAAGTATGTGTCTCTGCAGCTCACCGTAAACGCCATAGACTGACACACATGCATGATATGAAGTTCAGATGCACGTATTCGGGATGTACGTTTTCGAGCAAGAAGAAGAACGACCTTTCTAGGCACAAGTACACACATTTGAACGAACGTTTCCTGTGCGAGTATGACGGCTGCGACAAGGACTTCGGAGCACCTCACCTCCTAAAAGAACACGTGAAACGCTGCCACGATTCATCTTCCACGGGCGACGAATCAACTACATGCGGTGGTTATTTATTCGTGCAAACATGAAAGAGATGACTTCCTATAGTGTAATGTATTTTTCTTTTCAGTTCCATTGAATATATACGTATACACAACATACAAAATAAACACTTGAAGAGATGTACGTATAATTTTCAATATAAATACTTAAAAAAACGATGCATAAACACGTACTTTTATACATATACATAAAATATCAGAAAGTGCTACATATTCCCTTTATTCCATGTGTAAGTTGTGCATACCCCCTACGGACTCTGTAAATAGTACTAAATATGTATGGATTTAAAAAAATGTACGTTAGTACTGACATACTGACTACGTGTCACTCTTGAGGCTTGAGCATGTTCGAACTATCGATCATGCCTTGTGCATACCTCGCATCCGATCGCTAAAACCTCATTGACTATTTGGACCTTTGTGAGTAGTTGTGTGTCTATCAGTATCAACCGGAGTTTCTCACTCGTTTATTCTGTATGTTTTTCGTCAAAACCTTATCGTACAATGGGCCTACAACGATACAATCTCTCTCCTAGTGAGATGCCCTACACTATATTGCTAAAATGTATGTATAATACAAATAATTGGAGTCGGGAGATGTGGAGGGGGGGGAGCGAGGGCTCTCTATTTTAATCTAAATGTGTACACACACAAAATTACACAGTCTCCAGTGGCTTGCAGTGGCACAATGTAAGTCAGTCCACACTCCACACACAGTCAGTCAGTCACACACATATAACGAGAGAGATAGAGAGAGAGAACTTATAGAATTAGAAGTAGTATTGCGGGTTTCAATTTAGAAGGCCATGTATTTCCAGATTTTAGTTCAGTGTGGGATTGTACCCTGTGAGTGTGTACGTCCTATGAGATTTCGTTCTAAACTGTAGCCTGCAGGTCGTCAGACACGTCAACGACGTCACGTCGTAGGATATCCTCTTCTCACGTGTTGTCGGAGTCTTTTAGGCTGTGGCCCTGTGCTCTACTACTATATTTACCAAGAAGAGATTAAAAAACTATCTGGATTCTCTGGTCAGTGGTCAGTTCGTCACTTTTTGGGTAGCCTGACCTTTTGGCTCTGGAATCTCTCAGTATGCCATGCACCCCTATGGTGGAATGTAACTTTTAGAATAAGACTATATGTTTACTTCATTTGCTCGTTGAATCGTTGTGTAGTATACACTGTACAGTGTATAACCAACCGACCGCAAAAGGAAGCTATACATGTCACCGAAAGGAAGCACTACGACGCGTAGAAATGTATAGTCAATTCACCATACAAATCGCCGATATAAAATATAGATGGTGAATGTGCCTGTATAGTGTTTGATTTAGAAGGCTAAGATGCGCCCATTTTGAATTTTCAAATCATTTAATTTTTTTACCCCAAAAAAATATAAAATAGTAGAACAAGAAGAAACTCGCTTGGCTGGTAAAAGACACGACATTTGGCAAAAAGACAGGTCAGACATTTAGGAACGACATTTTGTCAGATATATCGGTCGGCGTCGGGTGTCGGAGACAGACCTAGTGCTGACCCAGACCCGACTGTCGCAACAACAAACGACATGGCCTACGTGTCGCGGCGACATTTTTTCCAGGGGTGTACATCGTTGTCGGATGCCAACCCAGGGAATTCAAAAGTCTAAAAAGTTCTACTCTAAAAAAAGTTACAGGTCTGTACTTGACGTCAAAATTGTTTAGGTGCAGCATTCTAGGTCATAAATTGTGTCCTAAAAATGCGCAAATATATATTTACGTGTCAGTTTATGTTAAATATAGGTGCAGTTCTGAAGTGCATAATCCACGATTTCGACCATATAATATTGAGTTTATAAAAGTTAAACCGTTTATAAAATGAAAAAACAACGGTTAACGTTCAACTTATCTCGAAGAGATCTTACAGCCTTCCCGCTTCGCGGAACTTATTGACGTTTGCTCGGGAGGGGACTGAGACTCTGGGAGTCAGGGAGTGAGAGTCGGAGACTCTGAGAGTGAGAATCCGAGACCAATCACTGATGACTGATGAGTGATAATTCTCAAATTCAGGCACTCAGTCCAGACTCCAGAGACTCACACCACAGAGACTCAACCTCAACAGTCATCTGAGTCATCAGTCACTGACATCGTGACATGATGACACCTCCCTCTCAAGCCCTCTAAATAGAAGTCAAGCCCAAGGACTCAGCCTCTCAGGACTCAGTGACTGACTCTCAGACTCTGAGGCTCCGAGCCTCAGGACTAGTAGTGAGGGAGTATAAGTACTTATACTCAGGATGAAGTATAAGTATTTGCGACAGAAACTCAGAAAGACCCTTGACTCCATGGCTAACCTCATAAAGTTATGGCGTTAAACCTTAACTGATACTTTTTGGAATATAAAAGTTATAACTTTTAATTGGGACAAAATAATGTTATGACATATAAATTTGCACTTGAAAAGATGTCCTATAAATTTCAAGATTGGGCCCGGAATGAATTTTAGTCAATCATAAATGTTCAACCTGACACTTGGAAGTTGCCATTCGGTAGTTGGGACCTAAAACAGGACAAAATATATATGCTCACTGACCTGAATATTGTACCTTAATACTCAATATAGATGATTTTTTTTTTAAATTGTCTGTGTACTGA